ACTGAAAACAGATGCCCTTGAGCATCGTTGATGTTTATGCCCAGTAATCTCTGAACTAGTGCAGTCACTCGACCAGAGGGCTTTTTTGTACTGCACTGGTTCAACTCCTCCCGCTATGCTATCTATGAATGCCAACCCTTTGGCATGCTAGATGTAAATTCTTTGGACTTGAACCTGAAGGCTTCATGAAAGGACAGCTTGACCAACTTCATTAGTATCAAAAAGCATTTCCTTTCCTTCAGCTGACAGGACTTCCTACTGCAGCACCGACAACGGTGTCCTGGCTAGGAGTGTGCACCAGCTGATGTGTATTTACCATGCTGAAACGCCTATTGCTAAGGCTTCCCCTGAATATTACACAAGGGCTGATGATAGGGAAGTTGGGAACCTCAAGTCTGAAGTTGCATTTAAGCTTATTCTTTTTATCTTTTTAAGTGATGTTCAGGCTTTCCCTGCAATTATTGGCATATTCAGTACTTTGGTCAAATCAGACTAGTAGCTCAGCATATTTCTGGTATCCACAGATATCCACTGATAGCAAGCTGTTAAGAGCTGTCCTCACTGGAAGACTAGTTGTTTGTTTGATTCAAATGGTAGGGTGAAAACCTTTTATTTTCATGTGGATAAGTTTCAGGTATGTAAAGCAAGTCTTGTTCTACAGCAGGTCCTGAGTGAGCTAGGAAATAAATGGCAGCAGGCATATAGGGAAGGTGTATGGAAAACCTGTTTCACCTACTAGCTGGAAAGGATATGAGCATGGGGTTTGGTAGCTCTTCAAAAACTTGTCTATCCAGATAATCTGGATATACAAATATATAGAGAAATATGTCGCTGTACACAAATGTAGATATTTGTCTGTAGATAAGTGTTTTTTCTTCTTTCAACTCATAATTCTTACCTTTCAGTTTTGACAAAGACTCTTTCTTGTTTTGGGGCATTATCAGCCTCAGCTCAGCTGTTTAACTTTGAATTTGTCTTGTTCTTGTGTTGTTTGAAAAAAATTTGATTGACACTCCCAATCTATCCTTTCTGTACCATTCCTTATTTATATGTGCCTGTTCCGGTTCCTCTTTTTTTGTCTCCTGTGAAGTCAACAGCTCCAAAATTTTCACTCTTTCTGTGGAGGGAGGACTTTCTCTCTTTCTTGATTGCAAGCTGCTAGCTAGTCAGACACCAGGCTAGAGAGAGGAGAAGAAATGGAGACTCTCTTCTTGTAGGCAATGACTAAAACAGACTGTTGTTTCTAGTGGTGACAGAAATAGGCAATCAGGTTCTCAGTTTGGCCACCCTGCACATTTTGGTCAGAGAAGGAAAAATCTGTTAAAAGGTGCTAAACTTAATGT